TTTCTTTTCTGAGTTTTGCTCAAAGAACAAACTAAAAATGGTTTATCCCGCTGCCGTGGAGATGCATCGATACCAAGTTACCAACGAAGGGATTTACAAATTTACAAAACCAAAAAGGGTAACTTTTTTTCATGCGCAGCTACGCAGTGCAGAAAACGCATATTGACGAGGGGTTGACTGTGTGTGTGTGTCTGTGTGTCCGTGTGTACGTCTGTCACGGTTTTTCATCTCGAGACCTACAAAAGCTACAGGGCTGAAACTTTGGGAGCATAATCTACACGCATGTACGGGTCCCAATACTCAAAACTGACGCCATAACCCGCGTGGTACCCGCGTACGGGCCCGCCAAAGCTTTTTCGGGTAAGTTCACAACTCGGGGATCTGAGAAGCTAGAAAGCTGAAATTTTAAGGGAATGTTCCCCGTCCAAGTAGGTGCTAATGAGCACAAACCCAACCCCCGTGTAAGCGCCGACTCACCAAAAAAAAATTTAATGGGCCCGTACGCGGCTACTACGCTTCCCTGGAGAATAGGATTAAGCGCATCAACACCGATTAGGATGGGGAAATCACCCTAGGATTTGATCGCTCTGGCTTCTCAAATCCCCCAGTTATGAGCTCACCGAAAAAAGGTTTGGCGGGCCCGTACGCGGCTATTACGCTTGCTTGGGGTATGGGTTTCAGTGCATTAACACCGACTTGCAAGGGGAACATCACCTTAGGATTAGAGAGTTCTAGCTTCTCAAATTCCAGAGTTGTGAACTCACCGAAAAAAAAAACTTGGCATGCCCGTATGCGGCTATTACGCTCACCTGTGGTATGGATTCTGTGCATCAACACCGACTAGGATGGGGAACATCACTGAAATATTTGAGCTTCTAGCTTCTCAAATTCCCGAGTTATGAACTCACCAAGAAAAAAATTTGGCGGGGCCGTACGCGGCCACCACGCTTACCTTGGGGATGGGTTTCTGTGCTTCAATACCGACTTGCGTGGGGAACATCACTGTAAGATTTGAGCGTTCTAGCTTCTCAAATTCCCGAGTTATGAGCTCACCAAAAAAAAATTTGGCGGGCCCGTACGCGGCTATTACTCTTACTTGGGGTATGAGTTTCAGTGCATCACCACCGACTTGCATGGGATTTTCCCGCGTAAATTCATAACTCGGGGATCTAAGAAGCTAGAAGCTGAAATTTTAAGGGAATGTTCCCCGTCCAAGTAGGTATTAATGAGCTCAAACTCAACCTCCGGGCAAGCGCGTTACCCGCATACGGCCCTGCAAAAGTTTTTCCCGCGTAAATTCATAACTCGGGGATCTGCGATGCTAGAGGACTGTAACATTAAGAGGATGTTCCCCGCCTACATTAGTCTCAGCGAGCTCAGACCTAGCCCTCGGTCGTGCGTCGTACCTACGCACGGCTTCACCAAAGTTTTTCTCGGGTAACCTCATAACTCGGGAATCCGTAAAGGTAAAAACTGTATTTTAGGAAGATGTTCCCCGTCCGAGTAAGCCTCCTGAGCTCAAACCCGAACATCGGGTACGCATAGTATTCGAGTGCGGACTTGTGGGAAATTTTTTTAAGTAAATTGCTAACACAGGAGCCAGGAAAGTTAGAAAGTTGAAATTTTAAGGGAGTGTTTCCTCCCAGTTTTGGTGGCCAGTCTTAATTTGTTTAGCTAGAAGGATCTGCCTGAGGAACCGATACCGGTAGCGACAAAAACTGCGGGTAACTATGGAAAAACGCATCTTCGCATGGGCACTCCGTGCGTTGGCCAATTATTCAATCATAGACCTGAGGGTACAGTTTGGTGGTACCATTTGTTATACACCAAGTTTGCCAGTTTCGTAATTAAACCCCCCTCTTCCTATCCGTTCCACGGCATCTCATCCTTCGGCGCGATTTCTGTGAGATGGCGAGAAATGCAAAAATAGCCTGAGCGGTAGAAAATGTTAACGGCGACCAACTGTGTCGATGGCTTTGTAAACAAAGCTGCAACCAGAAAATAATTTTTCTGGAGCAAGAGTAGGTACCAAAAATATATCGCCTGAAAGGTCAAAAATTCTGGCCACTTATACCTCCAGCAATAAGATAAACGTTCGGGAAAGCATTTTTTGCCTGACGCAGCTGATTTGCATGCCCATGATGGAACAAATCATATACGCCATCAGCGAACACACGTACCGGACGTCCAGCTGAAAAAAAAACACTAAAAAAGAAAAAAAAAGCAAAAAATCAGGATAGATGTGGTTACCTCCCATTTGGCAAGTTATTTTATTGTGATCTAAGAGTGCGAGTGTTCTGAATGAGATGGTGCTGTTCAACACACAAGAAGAATAACTGTGTGGCTGCTACTAGCCTTGCAAATTCAGGAAAATTGTTAAGATAACAAATCTTTCAGAAAAAGAAACGGACGTTAGGATCGTTAGCTAATTGGCGGCCAAATAATGCAGCATTGGCCTAAGCAACTGGACAAGTAACATCTATTCCAAGTCCTATAATTTTGGTTATCAACTGCACAACAAAATACATCCCACCGTCACCCCAATGCACAAAAAAAGACCTCGTCATAAAACAACAGCGGCGCTCACAAGAGCAGCTGAATACAATCGTGCATTTTGGGCAATTCTGTCCAATAGCTGTTGAGGATTTTTACTATTTTTCACTTAGGTGTGCAAAAAATAGTTGACTCGTTGTCTGTTCTTAAATAGCGAAGCTTCTCGCTAAAAATCCTACTTATCGTTATGCAAAACGTAAGCGCACGTGAAAGCTGAATTCGACATATTTTGGTCACACATGGACAGAGAACATCAATTTCCTAGTTCTCTGACATCCGAGTCTGTGAAT